CCAACACTTGATGTCTACCCGAACCCATACCCTCCTTGAAAAGCCCTAAACCCAATGGCCTAAACCCTAAATCCTAAGCCTGCGCAGGAAAAAACCCGAAACCCCGAAGAAAAAAAACAAACAACTAAATCCAAAAGCCTGAACCCGACTATAAATTGGCAAAGCAATTCACAGCCTGTGCCATGGCTGCTGCACGCGCGATCTCCTCAGGATCCGGTGCCTGGTAGTGCAGCAGGTTTTGGGATTAGGGTTCAGGGTTTAGGGTTCATGAGGGTTCAGGGTTCAGGGTTCAAGGTTCAGGGTTTAGGGTTTAGGGTTTAGGGATTAGGGTTTAGGGATGATGGCTTAGCGACTTGGGGTTACGGATTTAGGGTCTGCAAGGCTTAGCGTTTAGGGGTTACGTGAGGAGGGCTAGGGTTGCTTAGGATTGCAAAAGGCATTTGAAGCTAGGGGTGAATGGGATTGAGGGTTCTGGGTTAGGCCTTGTGGGACTTTCATAATAAGCCAGCTGTCTCGATCTCTGTATTACTCTTCATGTCATTAAGAGACCATGCGAGGGTGGCCACCCCATCTAATCTAGGACTACTCCTGTCACAACCACCACGAAACTACAGATGAATTGCGGATCCTACCTATAGTCTCCATTGTGGTTCCTTTTTTCGGTTAACCAGTTTTATTGCTAGGACCCTATAAGATTTTGGTTAACAAAAAGAAGGAACTACAATGGAGATTATAGGTACTGACTACTTGCTGATACTGTTGCGAGTCGAAGAGGCGACGCGTTTTAGAAAGACACATCTAGACGATGCCATAGGCAACAGAAGGTGGGTCCCTGCCTGGTCACCCGACGACAAAAGCCGTCAAAGTTTCATGCGCGAGGATTTAGCCTGTGAGTGTGAGTGATTCTATCAAGTTCTTCTTCATGATTCTTGTAGATGCATGAAGCAGGGGTGTCTGTTACACGGCCCATCATTGTGGAACCTCCTTCTCAAGAATTTTTTGCTCAGGCACCTGCCGTAAACACTCAAACCCCAGCACACTGGCTGGAATACAAAATAAGTAATCATATCCGTCCCTACAGAAGTATCATGTAGTACACCCCCCCTCAATGCCTACATGCCTTTCAACAAGCCCTGCAAAACCCCTATTTTGTAGCCCATATAGATTCTATATAGATCCCACGCCCCAGAAGCCCGAAACTGAAGGAGGCTTTTGCTGCACAGAAAGACTATAAACCCTTTAGCCCCTACAAACCCAAAGCCCTATAAGCCGTTGATGATACAGAAACGTTGAAGGAACAGTACATATGGGAGCTTCCGAAAATTAGGGGTACCTTATTTTGGGGTCCTTATAATGAGGATCCTACTACTTAGGTACTATACTAGGGTCACCTATTTTCGGAAACTCCCATATTGCCCCCTCCGGGGCCGGCCTTCTCAGTGAGGCGGAAGGCCTGCCGCAAGGGGGTTCGGACGAACCCCCTAGAATCCCTGAACAAACTCATATGCAAGGCTTAAGCCCGAAAGCCCTACAATTTGTCTGGGCTTTGTCGGAAAGGTGTTTGTGGAGGTCACCAACTTCCTCAGCTCCTTCATCATCTTGTTCTTGTCCTCGGCACTGTAGCTTGATACATGGCTCTTTGCCTTGTCGTTCTTGGTGTATCAAAACTCCATCGGCAATTTATCACCAAACTTCTTCTGGCTTTTCGTCTTTTCCAATGTGCTCAAGCCATCATCATCCCTTGAAGACTTTGCGACACCGGTGTCACCGCCAGTGTCTTCAATGACTTCGTCTACCATGAGAGTCCAAGTGCCCATAAGCAGACTTAGGGGTTAGGAATAGTGGGCTTCGGGTTTAGGGATGGGCGGTTTTCGGTTTGGGGGGGGGGATGGGTTGCAGAGCTTCGGTGAGGGGAAGATTCGACACCTTATGGGCTCGTGCGGGTTGGGGTTTAGGGGTATAGGCGTAAGGATTTTCTTATCTCGGGTTCCAGGGCTTTAAGTGATTCAAAGGCTTGAGGTTGGGCCGAGTAGTTGGGTCGAGGCTTTGGAGTTGACGGTTCCTGAAAACTCTCCCGACTTCAACAGATGCCTCTTCAATGACCGAAGTAAAATCCTGAACTCCCAATCCCTAAAGCCTTAACCAGACATCCTACACCGCTAGTCCCATCAGATGTTGGCATGAGACACGGCCGGGAACCTACACGCCCGCACTCGAACCCTGAAAGCCTTATATGAATCCAATCCGCAGGCCGAGTCGCGGGTGCAACGCCAAAACAGGTCCCTTTTGGCATAGGTATAGCCCTTGACGTGGGGATGTCACTGAATGAGGGTACCTTTTCGCATTCTTTTTGTAGGGTGCCGTACTACTTTGGGTGCCTGAAAAGGGACCGTAGACCCTAAAAATGCCTGACAACCACCCCCGTTGCCCTAAACAGGGTTGTAAATAAGGATCATAACATTACGGCCCTGAAAGGAAGCATGAAGACTCGGGGGCCAAAAACAAAGGTCCGAACAATTCAAGTCCCGATATAAGTTCAGTGTATTGCACCGCCAGAAGCACGATAAATCTCCATCCTAAACCCTAAACTGTAAACCCTGAACCCAAATTAAACCCGTACACCCTTTTTCAACCCCGAACCCCGGGCTTTAAGGGCTGTTTTCTGGGCACTTTTACCGACCTCCAAGGCTCGGAGAAGGTCGATAAGTCGGTCCGCATCGAAGACGCCCTCCTTGCCGTAGACCATGTACCTGGGAGTTTCAGTGATTAAGGGTCCATGTAGCCAAATAGGGTTCCTTGAAAGGTACCATAAGGGTTCCTTTAAGGGTTGCTATCAGGGCTCTATATAAGGATTTAGGGTGTAAGGGTTCATGTGCCCAAACAGTATATGCTTTGGCCCCAATGTACCTACATAGGGAATACTTTAAAGCTAAAGTATGGGGTTCTTACAAGAGCGTTTAAGGTGTACAGGGTTTAAGGCTTAGTGAGCGTCTCCGACCCAAGAAAGGTGGCTACTGAAAATCGCTCGACCCTGACCTACAAACTCCGAACAGAAAGGCCACGCACAAGGAAAACGGGAGGCCACCAGCCAAACAAGAAAACACTAAGCCCTTCACCCCCTAGACCCGGAAACCCCATGCAAGTTCCCCAAAGAATCACAAGTGAAATCGTCTTGCATAAGTGTTGCACACCAGCCACCGTAACTGTATGCACAGATTGGAATCTGTGAACCCTGAACTTGCCCCACTAGTCTCTCGACCTGCAACACGAAGTGAAAGCATGCTCGTCAAGCCTTGTCCAGCACATAATACGAAAAGGAAGAGTGATGATACTAACTACTAGAACCATTTAGTAGCGACTAATACTAAACAAACTTCATCATAACCACAATCTAACAACAAACGAACTTGATCATAACAAAAACAATCTTTCCGTTCCTAGACCCTAGCCCCTAAGCTCCAAATCCAAAGCCGGCCGGCCGGAAGGAGGACCGCAAACGATCCGATGGGTTCGTAAGTAGCCTCGATGCTTGGGCTGATTGCAAGAATACGAACCTCAAGCCCTAAACCCTGAGCCCTAAACCCTGACACAGAAGCCTGAATCATAAGACTCGGAATTTCTCTGGAGTTGTTCTACACTATTGATTAAATTTGTCAGCACGCCTCAAGGAAGGGTGTCATCACACCTATATAGTGGCCATCACAAAGCTAATACAGTTTAGCTCTGCAACTCGATTTGTTTTATGCTTTCAAGAGCTTCGAGGCTTACGCAGGCACCATTACGGGCTTAACTATGAATTGTATCTGCAGCAACAGAGGGTTTTGTCAATGAACCTTTGGGCATTTGGGGTTGGGGTTTAAGGCTTCAGGTTTGGGGGTATTGATTCCATTGTCCGGAATCTCTTGCAGAGGAGACGCCAACACCCCAAACCCTCCCCTTCCCCCCGTAAACCAACCAAACCAGGCCCTGGGGGTTTAAGGTTTTTACTAAAACCCTAAACCCTAAATACTGAATTCCTAAACCTCTCAATCCTTAGTCCCTGAATACTAAAACCCTACACCTCTAAAGCCCTAACCCCGAACAGCCCTCGTGCCCAAGAGCTTGCTCAGAATCTACTGGCCGGTCGGTCTCGGGACGTAGACCGGCAGACATGGAACACCGGAGCGGCACCCTTCTAAAGGACAGTGGTCAAGGACGGGCCTCTTTTTGAGATGACAAGGCCTGATTTAGGAGCTCGGGGCTTTTGAGATCTGAAAGGTGTGATGGACCATGTGTTGTGGAATGGTCCTTTCCATAGCGGTCCAAGCCCTCACAGAGTAGATACTGGGGACCGTCAACGGGATTCATAGCAGCTGTAAATCCAAGAATGGATGCTACCTGCGTACCTGAGCTCCCTCAGTCACCTGAAACCCGTATGTAAACCGTAAACACAAGCCCAAAAATCGCAAATCCCTAGACCCTGAACCCTAAACGGCCAAACCCAAACACCTTATGCTGGGAAGGGTTTGTGCTTGTAGAAATTTGTGCTGCCAAGGGGCTGCTTGGAGAGGTAAGGGTACGCCTCTTCAGATCAGTTTTAGCGAGTAGAGCTTTAGGTTAAAGAGTCGGGCTCAGGAGTTGAGAGTAGGTGCAGGTGCCGTAATGACTGGAATCCTGTTTGGGGGGTTTCGGTGCAGAGTTTATAAGGTTGAAGAGTCCGCGAGCCTGGTATATTCGGTGATCTAGGGGTCCTCAATGACTAAAACCGTGTTTCATGAGAACTAGAGAGGGGCTAGTCAAGGGGATTTGGATACCAACTGTGACCTGTAATTAGGGGCTCAGGGATTCAAGTGAGTTTAGGGATGGAGGGTTTTAGGGTGCAGTCTCTTCTGGTGTCTTGATGCTGGAATGTGTTGGTTTGGGTTTCGGGGCTGCGGGGTAAACAGGTGCCGCAGGTGCCCTCAGTTCAAAGTACCCTTACAAAAGGACCCTATAGAAGGAAGCCTACATTAGAGAACTCTTCATGTGATGATTGTTCGGATTCTCGATTGTGCGGGTGCCTCATCGATGATGGCGAAGTCGGGGTCTCCAACAAGAGCAATGCCCTCGAGGACGCCGATGGCGCGAATGATCAAGGCAAAGTAGGGCCTGAAAGGTTTAGGGTTTGTATGGATTTTGCTTGGGTTGACAGCTCCGATGAAACACCATCCACCTTGCTCAACTAGAATATGTGGATGAATAAGTACTTGATTAATACAAAACAACTTCTTTTAATATTTAAATATTCCAATAAGAATCGTACCATCTTCGGATCGGGCTTTGGCACAAGCTGGAAGGGCATGGCCCACTATGCCTTGCTGGTCCAGCTCGTTCGGGGGACTAAAGGCTATCCTGTGAGATTACACAGAGATTCGAACCCCTAGAGGTCAAAGCACGACATGGGATAATCTGCATCTGCAGGTTACTTATCTTACTACTCACATTCTCTAGAAAACCTAAACGACTATACCCTAAAGCGATGCGACTCAAAGAATCAAAGCATGCTGCGACCCGTAGCCCCTCTTGCCGACAAGCCGCGGGATCCGGAAAGGAAACTCGAACCTCAGGAGCCAACATAGGTCTTTTTCAAAGGTTAGAAACGGGTTTTGGGGTACATTATGGTTACTTACAATCGCGAACTCTACCAACTAATGATACTACTGCTTAATCAAGCTTCTAAGCCTTGGATTGATATGGAACCCTGACGCCCTCAGCGATCTATAAACGGCTCCTCGAAAACTCTTAAGCTTCATGGGACACCTGTAAGCCCCTATAACCCCTAGCTTGTAGGCGAGGTCTTGGCACTCAAAATCCAAGGTTGAAGCCTTAGGGCCTGGAAGGTTTAGGGTTTGGGGCTTAGGTTCCAAGGTTTAGGGCAAGGAGAGACTCAAGATGCATCGGGCGGGGTTCAAGATGTGCCAGAAGCAGTCTAAAACGGTGGAGAACATGGTCTCTGGTGCCTAATAACACGTCGTCATTGGAGTCCTTAAGGGATAGCTCCAGCGAGGTTTGAGTTGCCTTGCAGCAGTTAGGGTTCGACATGATTGAACATGTGTTTGCCTTTATTTATAATCCCCCTTGTAAGTGCGAGTGACCTTCTCGGAAGGCTGGAATGGTCACTCTTCACTCTTCTACAAGAGCCTCGTAGCAACATTCATTCAAACAGACTCTTCCTTAGCCCAGTAAGGGCCACCAGAATGTATCCTAAGTCGCCTACAACCCCTGTGAGCTTCTCGGGTATCACGGGCTGAAGAATCAGGAAAGGGTTATAAATGGGGGATAGCCTTTGTAGTACTACTTGCTCCGACCTCTACACTACATACCAAGGTTTGGGGTCCGGGTCTGGGAGGGTCGAACATCATGACCGGAGGCCTTGTTACCATTTGCTTCCACCTTGCGGTTTACGACTCAAGAAACATGTCTTCAGGCTGTTGGGCACTGTCAAGTGTTTTGGGCCATAACCGAACACCTAGCCTGAATGTTCGAATCAGCGCAAGAGGTGTGCCATGTTGGTCCTATAGCCACAAGCCTTAGCGGCAAACTTGACGTACACACTTGGGCTTTTCTAACTATGATAAACATGCACGGCCCCGGCTGCCTCGTCCTAAAGCACAACAGAAGCCGCGAGTGATCTTCAAGCCGGCAAAACCAACTGCTCGCCATACTAAGGAGCTCAAGAAACAAACAAATACATAACAAGCTCAACGAATGCAGACATCAATGTCGCGAAACAAATTTGTGTGAGTGTGTATACATATACCTATATGTATATTATGTAGGTATTTTACTAAGCATAAATAAATATACATATATATATATATATATATATATATATATATATTTATATTTCGGTGCATATATATATATATATATATATGCATAATATATATATATATATATATATCTTGACGCTGTGCGGTTCAAAGGGTTGGTAGGGCGAACATAGAAAGCTAGTCTCAAAAGTAACAATCGAAATTTAAATTTTCAGGCCCCTTAAAATGGCGAGCGTTAGGACATATATGGACATGTGGGATCTGCCTCGAGGTTCTTTGTTAGAGTCTGTGAGATTTTTCGGAAATATACCGTCCGAGGGACGTGATCTGGGCCAGGTCGGCAGAGAGCTCGTTGAAGTTGATCCCTCGGGCGCCGCCACCTTTCGGTTCGATGCATGCAGAAGCTTTGCAGGGGAGTAAAATCAGGGTTTAAAAAGGTGGCTTTATGTGTTGGGTTTGGAAGGTCTGGGTTGCTCATTCGGGTTTGGAGCCACGAGAAAGCCTAGTCAAATCGAAATTTTAAAACAACTGACCAAGCTCTAAGCACACAAACTCCTCCTTCATGAGATAGGCGCCCTTGCTGTGTAAACTTGTGACAAAAGCCAAACAACTCCAATATGACTTCACGAAACCCTAAGCCAAGCACCCCTAAAATTTCAATCTTGCAGACTCAGCCCATTCACAAAGCAGAGCCTGCGAGCGCTGCATCGAATACCCGAGAGAGCGCAGGGACGATCGGCTTGACATCCACGCCTCTGCTTCGGGACGTCTACTTCGTGTTTTTGTGTGTATATATATATATGGACACGATATGTACATATACATATATATATATATATATGTATGTAGGTATGTATATATATATATATATATACATACACATACATGTATATGTATGTATGTAGGGGTTGCTTGTAATGGCATGGGGAACCAGGTCAGAAAGGGTGCTACAGTGTACAGGCTTTGAGTGTAGGACTCAGAGTTTAGCATAGGTCTTCGAGGTTACCGCACCGAAAGCCGGAAAGCTACACCAGGAAACAAAAACCCATGAGCCCCAACCCCTAAACCCGTAAACCCTAAACCCCAAAACCCTGAAGCCTAACCCACGAACCGCAAACCCCGAATCCCGAATCCGATTCTTGTAAGGACCCTTTAAAAGAGCCCTGATCCTGGCAGTCCGTGTGCTATGGAACCCTCAACCCCACACACCCTACTAAACCCTGGGTACTGCCCCCATACAGTAACAGTCCATAATAGGGCTACAGTTGAGGGCCCACTATATCGAAGTTACGATTTATTATTCGACTGTTACTGAGTGGGGGCAGTACCCGACATTCACCCTTCCAGGCGAGACGCCGTCTGGTATGAAATCCAAATTCTGGAAGTCAGCTCCTGACAGAGGGTCGGCTTGGACTTTGGAGCTTGAGGTGTCGGGTTTTCGGGGTTTCCCATGATGACTTTGTAACAGTTCCTAAAGGGCTTTAGGGAGTTGAGCTTTTGTGAGAGTTTCTGGGATTTACTTTAGGGGTTTGGTTTTGTAACAGTTTCCAAAGGGCTTTAGGGATTTGGGGCTTTTGTGAGAGTTTCTGGGCTTTACTTCAGGGATTTGGGGTTTAAGGCGGGTGGGTGGGGATTGGATTCGGTGGACTGCTGAGTTAATGGATTGACAGAAAGTGGTAAGCACGAACCCTGAACCCCAAACTCAGTGCCGTGACAATTGGCAACAACAGGATTCGAAGGATAGCCTCTGGCTCGCATAGGATGCGGGCTGTGCCACGATTGCATTGTAAGCTTGGCTTCCTTAAGCCATAAAGCCCTAAACCCCAACAACTCTCAACCCCGAAGCCAATACATGTTTGAGCTATAACAGTACAGTAGGCTTCTGGAAGCTGAGCCCCCGCCTATCTCTGCATAATCCCGATGCACCAGGTGGGCGATGGCTTCGACCATCCCATACCGCTGATCGTCCTAACGGGAGACTTCAGAGCTAAGTTTAGGGTAGGGCGTGGGGCTTTGGGCTTGGAAAGTATGGGGCTGAAGGCTAAGAGTTGATAGGGTGTTGCGTTGAGGGATTGGAGCAACCAACAAATGAGGGAAGTTGAATCACGACAGCGCAGCACTCAAATATCTAGACCCAGACGTCATGCAACTCACCTAAGGATTTAGAGGCGGAAACTCCATAACCTGCCATACAAACCGCCCTAACTGATGGGGGCCCCGGATGCAAGATGCATACCGGCAGTTCCGCGAATCCATTCTCAGCCCAAACCAATACATTCAGTTCCAAGCTCAACAAGCCTTCTGAGCAGCAACAAAGCAATCGCAAAAACCCATTGGCCCAAAACTTGATGCCCAAACGGCAAACCCTAAGTTACTAAACCCTCCGGACTCTCACCAACTACTCACTACTCTCATTTGCCCAAGCCACCGTGATTTTGGTCATCAGCCCAAAATCCAGAATGGCGAGCCTGGGGGCATCGCTAAAACCTACTTAGGTCTTTTCTGCCCGTAGAAAACTTTCTTTGACTAGAAAGTTACACGTCAAAGACGTTAAATGACTTTGGAGATCCATTCATCGTTCATGTCGTTGAGTTAAGGGGTTGGCTGTTGAAGGCCGTACTGGGGGGGGGGGGTTTGGTGTTCCTTTCCGTAAACCGTGCAGGGTGAAAGGAATCAGGATTAGGGCTTTAAGGTCATGGAATTTCAACAACCTCCGGCAGTCTACCCTAAAGATCCCGCACTAGGTCCTAAGAAGTCTCTGAATAAACTAGACAGATACGTGTACGGTTCCAAAAAGGGCACAAGGGTACGTACAGTACTACAGACTTTGGTTTGATTTGGAGTCCGCCAGTTTCTGAAATTTCCGGAAAACCCCAAGACCTACACCCTTGACCCGAAAAGCAATGACTAAGGACACCCATGCCAAAAGAAACATTGACTGAGGGACTGGGAACCTTAAACCCAAGAAACAAACACTCGAAAGTTCAAATCAGCGCCCCGAATTCCAAAACCCGAAACCGAAAGCCGTACCAAAACCAAAGCCCCCGGGGCCGAAACTAAAACCCGAACAGACAAAACACAAACCTATAGAACCCAAAAACCCTAAACCCCGAAGCTCCCAACCCTCAACCTTAAACCCTGAACCCAAAACCCTAAACCCTAAAGCCCCCAACCCTAAACTACAGGCGCAGACTTGGAAACCCTAAACCGCATCCCGACTAGCATCGACTAGGGTGCACCGTGCAAATCCCTAGGGATCTGACCGTCCATCCGGCGTCCGCAGCATGTTGCCAGGATGGGGGTCAGCATGGAAAAGCCCCTGGAATCATGTAGCGTTTCAGGGTTTAGGGTGTGCTGCTGTTTAAGAATTCGAGGCGAGGGTTTAGGGTTTGGGATTTACTGTGCACGCATTAGGGTTTGGGCTTAGAAGTTTGAATATAAGATCGTGGGATGTCGTTGGGCATAGGGTCTAAGGTTCAGGATTTAGGGTTTAAGTTTTGGGCGTGGGGCTAAGGGTTTGTTGTTATGGGCTTCAGGCCTTTATGCAGATTAAGGATTTACGGTTAGTGATTTAGAGTTTGCGGTGAGGGCTTAGGGTTGGGATCTGCTGCTGACACGAGGAAACACAAGAAAACCCTATGATGACAGGTCCTTGTCCAGCAGCTGCGTCAAGTAGGCAACGACACCCACCTCGGCATCGGTCGTGCACTGCATACCGGATTGGGCTCATATAACAATGGAACCTTAACGCTTGGAACAGAGATCTAGCTCAGGTTGTACCATTTATGGTGTCCTTGAAGGCCTTGTGTTTACTCGTGAGTCAGACGCCAGGACGCCTTGAGCTTCCCTTCGGAAACTCAGCTTCGATTTCAGAGGCAGCGCTTCGGGTCCTAGACCGTCCATCTACCCTCTATTGGACCCGAAATGCCCATTATTCGAGGCCACTTACCCCTGTTTGAGGGCACAAGGAGGGTCCTGGGTGTTGCAGTTTTGAGGTTCGACGGTGGAACACTCGCAAAGCAGCCTCAGACTGAACGTTCTGATTCTGAACTCCAGAGATCTGACGCAACTCAAGACCCACGGATCCTGCAAGACCCTAGCCAGCCCTACACCCGGAACCCTTACACCGTATGCCGCGGTGTATCCTATGCGCCCTAACCTCCTAACCCCTAATCGTACACCCGAGTCCCAACTAAGGTACTTCAACCATAGAACCTGGGGCTGGTGAGTTCTCGTAGGGAGCCATTGATGTGTCAGGGTGATTGTGCAGGGCTATCATGTTGGGAGTATACTAATTTGGTTTACCCGAAGCCCAAAACATACCTTTGTAAGGCAATGCAGAAGAGGACATACACATAAAACTTCGTGACGGAGGAGGGGTTGACCTTCGAGTGACCTTCGGGGTTCCAGGTCCCTTAGTGTTCCGTCAACAATACCAATACCTTTCCAGTAACCATCTCCCCAACACGTGTTCAAGGGTACTACTACTCAAAGGCATGGCAACCCAAAAACCCTGAAAGCAACTCTTCTAGAACCTGTACAGGAAGCATTAACGAAACTCTTAAGCCGGGTTTGGCGTCTCGGGTGGGCTTGTGTTTCGCCGAGGCACGTTCACCAGTTGCCGGACATCGCCTGCCTGGCAAGAGATCTGTGTCGAAGTGAAATCCCTAAATCCAGCAACTAGCAATAAGGTTACTCCACTATGTGTCACAACTTTGAATCAACCCGGCACCTCAACCCCCCTATAGACCTTGAGCCTTCAGCTTTCGGCTCAAAGCCTCAACTCTGAAGAGGCCCGCGCACCTTAAACGCGCCCCTCTCGGTCGCTCTTACGAAGCCCGGGAGCTAAACCCTAAACACCCGCACGCGAAACTCTGAAACCCTAAACCCTAAACCCCCAAACCCTAAAGGCCTGAACCCTTGAAGCCTTACTCCTGAATCCCCAAAGCCTATAGACTATCTAGAACTCTCTCCCCTGAAGCAAGAAACACACCCCGCGGACTCCACGGTTGAGGGTTTAGGGGTCAGGGCTTATAGGGATTTAGAGTGAAGGGTTGAGGGTTTAGGGCTTATAGGCTTACAGGGTTTAGGGTTTATAGGGTTTCGGGTTCCAGCCTGTGACTGGGAGAGCTTCTCGCCTTCCACCCACTCGGCAACATGCACCTGGCCGCCACAATCTAGAAGCCAAGATTCCTCTTATAGGTTTCTGGGCTGCGCGCACTCTATTTATGGTCGAGTCTAGATCGGCTCTATGCTGCAGGCTTCCGGTGTATTGGGGTAAAGTCTACCGTGGGGTCTGCTAGTTGGGTCTTTTTCAAAGGATAAGGGTTACGAGGGTTGCATGGTTCGTGTAAATCTAAAGAACAGTAGCCCACTGCACATGCAAGTGGGCTGCTAGGGGCAAGAAGGAGTATTGCCTGAAGGACCAAATGACCTTAAACTAGAGGCCCTATACCCATATACTATGAATCCCTATATGGTATATGAACCTTATACCCTTTTAGGGTTCATTTCGTCCTTAAGGTGTGGAGCAATGGCGGCGCAGTAACCTTGACATGTAACAAAGCAGTTTTTGCTGAGGCTTCGAATGCCTCGGAACGAAGTCTGAACATCTGCCCGATAGACAAAATGGGCCCGAACCTGGCCTGACACCCAACCCTATGTAGAGCTCAAAATTACTACACCCCGTTCTCATGAATCCCAAGACCATACTACCCAAAGAACAAACGGAAAACAGAAACCCAGCACCAGACCCTAAGCCCCCAAAACGGGAAGGCCTTTCGGCAGCAGTACTGCTCGAAGTTCTTTGGAATCTTCACCTTGCAAACAAAAACCCCGGGGCCTTGATGACTAGAATAAGGGTTTGGGATACATTATACAGTAGTTCTATTCGGAGACAGAAGGAGGTACTAATACGAGTTAACCTCAAACCGTTTGACTCAAACCACACTGGGAGCTGGTTGTAGCTTAGAGGATACCTGAGAAGGGTACGCATGATGTTAATGATGTAATTTAAGCAGGGTTTAGGGTTACAGGCATCTCTGTCGGTCGCTGTTGTCTTACAACCTTCGTGTGCACAAAAGACCGTGTCCAAGTCTGCTTTTCCTTCAGATTTGTGTCTGCTTGACCCTGCTTGCCCTTCGCTTGCTTCTGAATTAGGATGTCCCTTGAAGACGAAATGAACCCTAAAAGGGTTTAAGGTTCATACCGTACCATGTAGGGATTCATAGTTCGTAGAATATGAGCATAGGGCCCCTACTTTTAAGGGTCATTTGGTGCTTCAGGTCTGTGTGCAATGATCTGTGAAACTGGGAATGCTGGCTGACACTGAGCCCTAGAGTAGAAGCCGAAAAGTGGGAAACCCAATGGCCTCAATCCTTAAGAGTAATGTATAGGAAATCCCAGTTCTATTTGGCCTCAATCCAGTTTCCAACTTTATGATAGTTACTAGTTACCATATAGATCCCCTTATGGTAACCCTTTTAGACCCCTTTAAAGGAACCCTAGGAACCCTAAAATAGACCCCTTTAAAGGAACCAACTTTATGGGGTTTACTGTAATCTAGTGCAGCGCCAGGCGGCTCGGTCCAGATGCGCCATGTCCGCCTCGACTTGAATGCCATTCTGGCACTCCTGTCACGGAAACAGATTTTGGGGCCTAGCTTACCTTTGGCCCCTACATCAAATCAACTCCTTCATGCCCGGGTTGGTGTTGGGTCGCCCCTGTAGGGTTTTGTTTGTTGGTTTGGGTAGTTGGGGCGGGGGTCGCGGTCAACTCTTTTGTTTGTCTTACCTTTGGTTGGTAGGGAATGGAGGAATGGTCCCATTCCTCCCTTCCCTGCTAACCAAAGGTAAGCTAGGGTGTTGAGGGTTGAGGGTCTGCAGAGAAAAGATACAGGGGGGCACTTAACAGGGGCTTAGGCTTACAGCAGGTAAGCATTGAGCTTCTTC